TTAGGCACAGCCTCTCAACGCAGTCGCGACTTATGAAGTTTCGCGTGGAGCCAATGTCTACGAAGGCGCCGCACTTGCGACCACCCACACCAACTTCCACAACGAAAAGTGTTCCCCTCTCTACTTAGTGCCACCCAAGACTTACGAGGGTCCCTTGCCGACCACTCACCTTGAAGGTCCTCTAAGGCTTCAGACACATCCAACGTACAGAGTATAGTTGGGTCTCGATGCGTCTGCGGGGTGACTAAGGAGTCAATAGCTTCGGCCAACTCTTGAAACGGGGAGGGTACATCACCCGCTTTAACAAGATTAGAAGCAGCTACAACTTCTACCGGCCCTAAGTGTTTCCCGAGCTGGAGCTCGTAGAGGCCCCAACCTGAGAAGAAGGAAAACCACCCTTAGGAGGGATCTTTTGCGATAACTTCGGGTTCTTGCACTTAAACTGCTTATGGTCATACTCGTCGCAGTTTATGCAAGCACCCCGCGACCAACGGTCCCGCCACACTTCCTGATCCAAACCGGCCCTCACCCATGCAACTATTTTGTTCGGGTTGGTGGCTTGCCCCTGACTCCTCTATTGACCGCCCTTGCCGCGACCACCTGCCTTAGTCTTAACTACGGCGGCGACGTTGCTACCCTCAACACTCTCCTCGTCGTCTAACTCTGAACCCGCCACAAGCTCAGAAACATCATCAATCGACTACCCTTCTTCTTCCATTGTGGAGTCTTCTTCTTTCTTCCATTTGTAGGGGGGGTTTGAGCACAGCCCATCGTAGCCTCTAAATCTAGGGCCTTCTTACCGAATGTCTCAAACGTGGATACTCTAGATGAGCCTCGCCAGCTAAGAGGTTCTTGATGTCTGTGGGAAGACATCTCAAGAACATGGTCAATAAGGACTGTGGATTATACTCCACTTCTCATACGGCAATCAACCGCTCTACGGTTGTGGTCAGCTCTCTCACGCACTTGTGCTTCCTAGAGTCAAGTTTCAGTAGCCCATCCATGACAATTTGCGCCTACTGAGGGTTGTGCCATCGAGCCTCCACTAAATCCATAAAGCTTTCAAGGGTATGGCTCTTGGCCCAGTCACCCATGTTTCTGCCGAACCCTTTTGAAGCCACTAATCCATTTAGCCAGCGAGCTGTTGAACCCTCCAAGTAGGATGCAGCAGTAATCACCTCCTCCTCTACCAACGTCCTCTTCGCCCTGACCCACACTGGAACTGTTCTCAGCCAAGTGTCGAGTGCCTCGTCGTTCTTATCTCCTGAGAAGGTTGGAGGTGGTTTCAAAGGGAACTTGGGGTACCAAGGTTGCTGTTGTCCCATTGGTGAGACAGGTGGCGGCTGTGGTGTAGCCGCTGGAGCAGAAAATGAAGAAGCAACAGTCTGTGACATGGCTGCTGCTGATGTACCACTTGGTAATGGTCCGGACTAAGCGACATAGGGGTCGGTCATCGTTGAGAATGGCAGTGATGGCAAAACTGTTGGCCTGATTCCTGGCCTATGCATGGCATTCAAGATCTGGTCCAAGATCCAGTTTGCTGTCCATGTATGCGTGCATGGACAGGATGCTCGCCTTAAAAATATTTTCAGCGTTACTAAGGGTCGAGTCATCTAACCCCTCTAGTGCAGCTTTGTCTGCCTCCCTACCCTCTAGTTTGACACTCCTATCTCTAATCTCTTTCTCTCTTTTAGTAGCCTGTTTAAGTTCCTCCTCTAGCCTCAAGTGAATCCTTTCCACCTGCTGGAGCTCCATCTGCTCCCGGGTGCATGGAGGCGGCGAGCTGAACTGCGAACCCGCCATCTGACTAGTGCCAGCTCCTGGCGTACTGGAGATGGACTGTGAATTGGTCGTGTTGAGTGGCATGCCCAAACTCTAACCAGTAGAGTTTGCAGCAGAAGTGGCTGAAGAGGTCACCATTGCTACTGCGCTAGCTGCTGCTACTGCCAACGCCCGTTCAGCCGCTGCTGCTGCTTCTCTCGCAGTCTCTAGATTACGGGCCCTTGCTTCGGCCATATGTCTTCTCTAGTCTCCTGGTAGTAGAACCTGGAACACTACGCGTATCCTACTGGTCCCCCGTCGTGTCTGCCTCCTATCGTCAGATATATCTTCACCACCCTCAGATTCACTCATGGGCTAGGCAGACGCTGTCTTCACTAATGTCCTCTTTGGGACCTACCGCACCATGCGTCTGATCGGTTCTAAAAATAAATAAAATAACAATATCCAGCGAGTTACCTAGACTACCGGTTAAGCGACATCAACAGCACCTACACAGACTGTACACATGCAGTTTACTTCTATCCAGATTAGTTCTGCATACAAAAGCTTTGAGAGGAGTTGACTATGGTAGATTACAGTCCTACGCTAGGCTGTCTGTTAGGTGTTAGCAGTCTATCAACCAACTAATCAAGGTAAAATTAAACTACAGTGAGCAGATGTATGCACAATGGATATGATAGTGATGTTCAATAGAGTTCACAATTGGAATCCCCTTCCCCTGTATCCAACATACCTGTGAGCATCATCAAGCTGTGGTGCTAAGGTGTGCAACCACGGCCCACCCCTGTGCCCAAGGTGTATGCTTATGACCAGCCTGCCCTTTGTTTACCCTTGCATACAACGAGCCTTACGTCCAACTGATCTGGCTGATCAAGAGGCAATTTAAGGACAGCCCCCGAGAGTCCTCAGGAATTATTTAACGTCGCAATCAGGACGGCGATCACAGCCAGTGGACAGATCGGACCCCAACCATAAATGTGTATAGACGGTCTGGGAGCGTCTGTTCCATAAATATTTATAGACGGTCTGGGAGCGTCTGCATTAGGACTGGTCAGTCCGCACACCCCTTCTATCAGCGCAGCAAAGAGCCTCAATGGACAAAGCAACAAAGCTTGCGTGTACTACTCCCATGGGTTGACATGGTGACCGTGACCAGTGCTTCGACCAGGGCCCTTCAGAGGCACCGCCCTCTCCTACCATTTGCGCCACCGAGAAGAATGTCGTCTCTCAAGGTAGAGTGCACACGACTCCTCACCAAAGAGAGGACACTCAAGTTGGACTCACTTCCTCACGGTAAGAAGAGATTGAGAGGGTAGATAAGGAATGGGAACAACGTACCTGGAGATAGTTGTGCCCCCAACCACAGAGTTCTCACCAATTGGGCCGACAGGCATTTCGATGACTAGTCAATAGCCTCGGTACCACCCACAACGCAATGCAGAGCCACCTCAGCCAAAATGCCACGTCAACATACTCTCATCATCATACATACACCCGTTGTCGCCACAACTCCCACGTTGTCGCAACAGCCTTCCAGTGGCCGGCCTCTCCACCTAGGCCCCACTATTACAAACCAGCGCCAAAGTATCCTTACTGCACATGAAGCATCGTCAGCGCACCAAGTAACAATGTTGCCGGCGCCAGGTAAGCGGCGATCACAAAGCAGCCCCAATACCAAATTGCAAGGAATATGAGTGTGAACGATATACAGAAAACCAAGTTTCGAAATCACACCGATGTCCAGGTAGTCGTGTCCAAGCAGCGAGTACAAAATGCACCGAGAAACCATCCATATAGAGCAATACAATGAGGTAATGAGCCAATGTTCAAGCCCGTAGGCCACACCAACACGGTATCCAAAGTCGCTCCTCTCCGTCTGGCGCCCAGCGCCCAGCCTACTCTATCCCACCATCCTACCTACAACTGGTTCACGCAACAGGCTCACTTCCAACTCTCGAAGACCAATATACATGACTGTCAACACCACCCTCAATCAGACCTTGATAACCCCACACTCGCCTCCGTCCCTGAAGACCACCAGATCGCCCGCATTAGCCCCTGGCGCCCGGCAGCCCAGCTATGGCCACCTGCGCCCCGCTGCCCTGCAGCACCCCACTTCACCGCTATGCGCCCCGTCATCGCCCTTGGCCGCAGCACAGCATCAAGCAGTAGAGCAGCCTCACTTCCGCATTGCCTGCGCTGGCCAGAATGCTTGGCTCGGGCTGCCTCACTTCTTTTATGGAAGTGGCAACCTCTTGGATGCTGCTCGTGGCCTGGCTGGAAGCTTCCAGTAGCTTCCGGTTGGGCCTTAGACCCTGCGCCCAGGCCCGAGACTACAGTTGAGGGCCTGGGCCCTTTTCAGTTGGGCACAACCTTAGTCTCCAGACTTGGTTGTTTGCTGCATCTGTGCAGGGCTCCCATGTAGGTGCGTCCGCAGTATTGCTTTTGCAAAGGTCAATGGCCTGCTTCCCAATGTATCGGCCCTGCGCTCTGTTATGTGCCCGGGCCAACTGTACGACACAGCCTAGTGAGGCTCACGCGTCTACCCAACCAACTGGCGTGCTGCGAGAGCCTGAATACCCACATATTGATGAATATTCAGGCCCGCCTTCACTTAGGGCGGGCACTCTGCTTGTTGGGGCCTTAGCCCAGAACATGTGATGTCTGATAGGGCCCCTTGAGGGCTCGTTGCTCACATTCCATCCCCTTTAGCTTCGAAAGTCCGCTGAGATGCTTCATATTGGTGCCTTCCCCTTCAGTTTCTTTTCATAATCTTCCACGATGTGAGGAGCTGTCTTGACAAGTTCCTCCCTTGAAATCCATTGATCTTCCTTAGGATCAGTATGATGCCTGAAATCTACTCTGTACTCCCTTGCAGGTTTAGGAGGTCTGCCTTTGCCAGGTGGCTTGAAAACAGGCGTGTCTCTCTGATCCGAGATATGGTCGACGTCCATGTGGCCATCCATGGTTGGGGGCGGCATAGATCTCCGAACTGTGTTGTCTCAGCGAAAGGTGCAAGCCTGGAGGCGTGAAAAACAGGGTATGTGCGTAGGTGACCAGGGATACGAATGACGTACGAGGGACCATCCAAATCATTCCCCACAATGTCTAAGACTTCCTAGGGACCGAAATACTGAGGCATTAGTTTCCTAGAGATGCCAAACTCCTGTCCTAACTCACTAGCCTTGACCCACACACGTTCCGCTACCTGAAATGTGGATTGTCGGCGACGTTTGTTCTCAAAAGCAATCATAGCTTCCTGCGATTTCTTGATGTGTTCGACAGTTTGTTGCAACAATTTCTCATACTAGACACCAAATTCAATGGTTCCGGGAGTTGCAGCAGTTCGGTTTTCAGGCAGGAGGAAGTCTAGAGCAGATTAGGCTTCCATCCCAGATGCAGTTGATTAGGATTGACGTCGGTGGTGCTGTGTAGAACATTATTGTACAGACTGGCGATGAGAGGTAGTTCCTCATCCCAATCATCCTAATTGGGCTTGATGTAATACCTCAGCAGATGTTGCACCACACGGTTCATCTGTTCAACCTGCCCATTTGCTTCGGGATGATTCCCAGAAGTCACCTGAAGCTGGCTGCCCATCTGTTCAACGGCCTTCGACCACATCTCGCTGGTAAACCAGACATCTCTATCACTAACAATGGTCTTTGGCAGTGCAAAGTCACGTACCCAGTTGTCCATGAACAACTTAATGACGTGCTCAGTCCTGGCAGTCTCCGGCATGACAATTAGTCTAGCATATTTAGTGAACCTATCTACTATGACGAAGATGTGCTGTTTTCCATTCTTGCTGGTCACGAGAGTATCCATGAAGTCCATGGAGACGCTCTGCCCTGGGCCAGCAGGAATGGGTAGAGGCTTGAGCAACTCAAGTGGAGCTGGAGTCCGAGGCTTGTCCCGCTGACAGACCTGAAAGGTTTTTACGTACTTTTTTGCATCGTCTAGCATGCTAGGCCACCAGAATTGTTGTACTAGATTAGCACTAGTCTCTTTGTAGCCGAAATGTCCCGTTGCATCGTGACAATCACCTAAAAATAAACCACGCAAAATCTCCCTAGATGGAACAACCAACCTTCTCAACCCTGCCTTTTCAAGAAAGAGTAATCCATCCACCATCACAAACTCGTTGAAAGTGGCCTTATGTTTGGCCTGCAGTTTGTTGATGATGTGCATCGTGACGGGATCTTCCTTGTAGGCTTCCCCCAAGGATCGAGTCACGTCCTCAGATAAGCCAAGCTCAGAAATCAGCGCACCTAGGCAATCTGGCCTTCTAGACAATGCATCTGCAACCTTGTTGTACTCTCGCTTCACGTAGTCTAGTTTGAAGTCATACTGATCTATGACTTCAATCCAGCGTTTGAGTGCATCGGAGAGAACTGGTTGGGTCTTGATCCACTTGAGGGTCTGATGGTCAATTCTCAAGTAGAAGAACCTTCCTAACAGATAGTGCCTCCAATGGGCAAGTGCCTTGTAGAGAGCATAGAGTTCCCTCTCGTAGGTGGACTTTGCCAACTTCTTTGATGGCATCTTTTTGCTCATGTACTCGACCGGTCTCAACTTTTTCCCTTCCTGTTGAGCCAGCACTGCGCTAATGTCGTATTGGCTTGCGTCAGTGGTTACTACAAACGGCCTTTGCAGATTGGGTACCATGAGAACCTCATGGTGCGTGAGAGCATACTTCAACCGTTTAAATGTTGCCTCACACTCGTCGGTCCAGTCCCATGGTATGTCAAGTTGGGTTAGATCAGTCAAAGGAGATGCGATCATTTTTTTTTTTTTTGAAACACGCCCCCGTCAGTGTTAGTGGTGCTGATAAGAGCAAACACAGCTAACACTTGGGGGGGAGCTCCATCTATTGGTCGGGAGCGACACCTGCTGGAAAACGGGGCCAGCGTCCCTTACATGAGCAGAATTCGAACCATATCAGAAAAACAGAGATGTGGAATATTCCTGCCAGCATTGATTACCCTAGGGTCAAGGGGATAGACTGAGCAGGATGGGGGGGGGGGGGGGGGGGGGGGGGGAGAACCTGAACCTGGCGCCAGATACCTGCTGCTACACCCTGGTTCCTCCCACCCCCTACCTTTGAGATATACCTTCTATTGATGCTGCTGGTCCACTCATACCGCTCCATCCCATTGCATGTCTACCACGTGCTGGAAACCGGGTCCAGCGTCCCTCTTAAGCAAAACATGAGATGAGTTGCGGAAGAACACAGGTGCTGGGAACCGGGTCCAGCGTCCCATCACCTTCTTTTTTGACAAACAACCCCCGCTGTGCTAGCGGTGCTGGTGGAGGCAGACACCGCTAGCACCCAACAGTGACTCAAGTCTTTGTGCCCTGAGAGCCAGGGGATTGATTGCGCAGATCCTGTGAAATACTCAGTAAAGTGGCCTTGTGTGAGCATGCAGATGCGCCAAATCCCTTTCTGTATCTCTTCACCCTTGTGAAGGGCGTCGGATAGACTGTTACGGGCTGATACTAGGGACTGTCACTAAACAGGGGGGCCAGTGAAGGGCGTCAGATAGACAGTTACTGAATGATACTAGGGCCTGTCACTAAACAGGGGGGCCAGGGGGCCAAAATGGGGTTGTCCCTTCGGTCTGCCCCCTCCACCAGACAACCCATGCCGCCCTGACAGCTGTCCTAGCCTGCCCCATATCTGCCCAACCTTGTCCCTGCTATCCGCTGCCAGCCTGCTCTATGCCTCCCCCACATTGCCCATTCAATCCGCTCCATACCATTGCATGTCTACCATAGCCAGATTGTGAGGCGGAAAAGGGTCGGGAAAATCTGATGTCGGTCGCAGTGGAATAGTCTGGCCGATAGTAGTCCAATCCTTAAAGCAGATCCGGTAGTCTCTCTTGAAATCCCCCAGGTTGCACGCCTGGGTGGGCTGTCCATCCCATCTTATACCTGCGATCCATCCCCCCTCCTCACTGCCCAACCAGTCCTCGGAGAATTGGTGTATTCCACGTGTTATGTCCTATGGTGATTGGAACAAGTCAAGTTGATTTTTAACTTTCTGCCACTGTACTGTGAGTTCTTGCTGGATATATTGCTTTATCATATATGTAACCTCTTCCCCCTCTATGCGGACATCCTCCATGGTATGGATACAACGTTTTCTCCAGAGGGCTCACACCACTGCCCTTCTCCCTGTCTTGAACATATTGTTCTAAAAAGTGTTGTCAGTGGGGGAGGACCATGCTTCACAGAATATAGCTCTCCAATCCCATGGCCAGTTGGAATCCGTGGCCAGCAAGGTCCAAATTTTGTCCCACCATCGCCACGTGAGGACCGCCCCTGGGCACTGCATGAAAATGTGTTCTATAGTTTCCGGGATTTTGCGGGATGGGAGCGCAGTGTGGCACGATTTGCACCACGACAGTGCCTGTCCCTTTTGTTCCAGCTGTGTGCGCTCTATCAGCCAATTATTCATGGGCAGGCAGCAGTGTTCGATTTGCCATTGCAGCGAGGCCATCTTTGCTGGCCTAGATCTTGTGGCGGTGAACCATCGGATGGGGCGGATTGCATCCGCTCCTACATTCAGGTGAGACCTCCACCGAGCTTTCACGGTTTCTTTTATGTTCACCTTCAGGCTCAACAAGTGGTATGTGGCCTTCACCGTTAAGGTGGACAGTTTCCGATTCTCCCCCGTTCTGGATTTACGCTAAGGGGTCCACTGCCATTCCATGGGGTCGAATGGGAGTTCAGTCATGGGGGTCTTTGACTGGAACGCAATCCAATTGTCTTTTTCCGGGAGCACCCGAATCCTGAGCAGTTCCACGTTTCGCTGCCATCTCGTTGCTTCTGGCCTATATCGAACGAGAATATTGTCCCTGTCTATGTGGAAGAGGTTGATTAATGCTTCGTCAGATCGCACCTCTACCACACTGCCCACACTCTCCGGATCCCCTGGGACCGCCACCCAATCCCCCTCCCTTAGCTGCGGCCCTCTGCGCAGGATGCGCACCCAATCCAGGGGGACTGCGAAGATCAGCAGGTCTAAATTTTCCTCGACCTTATGACAATGTTTTAATATAGTCTTTAGTTGCAGTGCCGTTTTCCAGTTCCCCTTTTCAATGTCCCATATGTCCTTTATTCTAATTATGCCTTTTTTGACGCAGCTGTTCCACGGAGTGTCTGAGATACGGTACACCCTACTGTGTTTGTCGGTCATCCACCTGTTCCCGAAAAGAGGTGGGCGCATCACCTCCTCCCACCTTGTCGGCGAAGATCTGTTAGGTAGTGGGAGACGACGCCAAGCCTTTAGGACTCGCACCCAGAAGTCGTCCCTGATCAAATCCGAGCGGGCCGCGTCTCGGGACGGAGCTTGGTCCGTCCGGTGGCCCGTTCGAGGGCACCTTGGCACTGTCCGAAAACGGTCCTCCAACTAGGTCAGTGTGTTAACCCCCTGCGGTGCTTGTGGGGCGAGACGCGCAATCTGTTCCAACGCCAAGGCCTGCCATGGAAGATGCTGGGTGAAGAGCAGTCTCCTCACCCATTGGATGGCTAATGCTGCAATCTTGGTCTCCGGATCCAGGACCCCCGGGCCCCCTCTGTCTTTAGGTTGGATTACCGATGCCTAGGCTACCCTGCTGATCACATTCGGAAGCTCACCGTTGCCTCTCCACAGCAGTGCCGTTAGTTGCCTTTTCAAAGACCTGACGGCCTCCTTACTGAGGGCCCAAATTGCAGATTTGTACCAAAGGGCCGCCAACACAACATTGTTGATCACAAGCACCCTACCAATAAGAGAGGTATGCCGGTCTTTCGAGTGGGCCAGTTTCTCTAGGGCGGGCTTAAGGATGCACTCGTCATTTGATGCGGGTTTTCCTAGTGTTGTTAGCATGATCCCCAGTACTCTAACCGGGGCGGTTTCCGAAAGCCATTTGACCTGCGGCGACTCCGGGGCCCCCTGATGGTGGTTCCACCATCCCAAGGTTTTGCTTCCCCAGTTGACCGTCATGTCCGAGACCATTGTAAATCGGTCGAAGAGTAGCCTGATTCCTTCCATGTTCGCTGCCGTGGCCTCCATCATAAGGGTCAGGTCGTCCGCAAACAATGAGCAGACAGGGATCGCGTCTTCCGGGATAGCCGAAATCTGCAACCGCTTCAGATCTTTGTTTGCACGAAGATTTGTTGTCAGCACCTCCATTACTATTATGAAGAGGAATGGTGTCAACGGGTCCCCCTGGCGCAGCGAACGTTGCAGTGAGAAGGTCGGCGCAATCGTACCATTAACTTGGACGCACGTGGTGGTGTTGTGATGGAGTATTTCTGTCCAGCGCCGGAAGGCCGGACCGATGTTCATTTTCTCCATACATTTGGCCAAAAACAATCAATCGACATGGTCATACGCTTTTTCAAAGTCAATGAAAACTGTGGCAGCGTTTCGCTTATCTTGTCTGGTTAGTTTCAGAAGTTCATTGACTAGCAGGATATTGTCCTGGATTCTGCGTCCTTTAACGAACCCAGTCTGTGTTGGATGGATGATGTCGTGCAAGACCAGGATTAAACGGTTAGCCAAGGCCTTCGCGACCATTTTATAGACGACTGTAAGTAGGGTTATCGGGCGGTAGTTTCTGATGTCCATCTTATCCCCTTTTTTGTGTAGCAAGGTAAGAACACCTTGTCCTACCAACTCCCCCATCCGACCTGTTTCCCACACGTGCCGGTAGAAATTCATAAGGCTCGGGGCCATCAAAGTCCAGAAGGATTCCCAAAATTCCTTAGGAAATCCATCTATGTCCGGCGTCTTTTCTTCGTCCATCTGCATCAGCGTCGTCCAGATCTCCTCTTTAGACAGGGGGAGATCGAGCTTTGTGCTCTGCTGGCTTGTCAGGGTCTTCTCTAATGGTTCCAGGAAGTCCTCGATTTCCTTCTCCCTGACATTTTCCTCTCGTTTGGCGCACCTTGAGGTGAACAGGTCTTTAAAAAAGGTCCTGGCTATATGCGTGCAATGGGGGGTGGATGTGACAGTGTCCCGATGTCCAGTCTGTGGGTCATATAGTGGCTCTATGGTTGTTCTGTGTGAGCAGGCTCGGGCTATGCTAAAGAATTTTTTATCCATTGTGCCCTCTGTTTGAAATTTCATGAGCCTTCCTCTTATGCGTGTGCCCTCCCATCTTTGTGTGGCAAAGGACTGGAGTTGTTGTTGCAGTCTCTGTACCTCATAACCCTCTCTTGGCTGCGTATTATGGTCATTTTGTGAGCTGTTTGATAGGTCTTGATGCTCCAGTTGTTGCAGTTTCTGGAATTTCCATCTCCTGCTGGTGTTTTTTAGCTGCTAATATTTTAGAGTATTCTTGGCATTTTTTCCTTAGGTAGAACAGGCCATTGTTGAACCAATCAATTTCCTGCGGAATGTTATGTTTTTGTGTGTGCCAAAATGTCCAGCAGTCCTTTAAATAACTTTGAAAAGTTTTATGTTGTAGGAGGGTTGTATTAAGTTTGGAGAACCCAAAACCGTGATCGTTTTTTTTGCGGAAAGATAGAATGATTGTGCACATTTTGTGGTCAATGCCCAGATATGCGCTCGCAAGTAGGATTACTGCCAGAAGTAGCGCGCCTTCCATGTCCTCCGAAATCAGGATTAAGTCAATCCTGGATCTTGACTGACCCTCGGTTCCAATCTTTCGCAAGCATGTATAGAACCTAGTATCTGGGTTTGGCTTCCGGAAGGAATCGAATACTTTTAATGAGAGACAAAATTCATTAATTATCCGCTCATCCTCTTCTACGTACGCTGGGGTGGGAGAGGGCGCCCGCCATCTGTCCATCCACCGG